TGTAGAGGGCAGGGAAGGGAAGGGCTGTGGCCTTCACGGGCTGAACAGTATGAGCTCCTCATCCCCCCAAGGGAGCTCACAGGAATATCTCGGAGAGCTTGGTTCTCAGCTTTCGGCCTCCCTTTTTTCTTCCCTTCTGTCCTGTCACTGGCAGTGTTTCCGGGGTCAAAGCAGAGTGAGGCCTGGCTAGGGACTGTATGTCCACTGTGGACCACTGGCATACCTGCAGCACAGGAGACAGCAAGGCTCAGTGGCTGCATAACATCACCAACCCCCAAGGGGCAGCAAGCCCAGACCAAGTCTTGCTTTACCCATACCAAGGCCCAGGCTATAGGTAACCTAAGACAAAAGCCTAAGCCTCAGGCTGTCTAATAATCTCCACCCCATGAAGGTCCTCAGGATACCCAAAAAAGTAGCCTACTCTACTACTGGCTATCTGTATCTTCTAGAATTGATTTCTAATCTAGCTCCTCACCCAGCTTTGGTGGGTCCTGCAACATGGGAAGCTGGACCTCCTTCCGGCTGCCACCCTTTCCAGATCCACTTTTGCTGGACCCTTGAAGCCGGCGGCCTCCTCCAACACAGAAGGATTCAGTCATCTCTATAGAGCAAGTGCACAGATCTATGAACTGAATGGGCCCAACCCAGGACTTTCACTGGGGCTATCCTAGAGGCCCACAATAGGCCTCTCTAGCCCTGGCCTCCTTTATCTATCACATCAAAAAGTAATGGGGACTTCTAACTCAGGGAAGGGGGTTTGCACAGACAAGGTCTCTCCAAATAACCCAGAAGGCATGAACAGTGTGGAAAGAGTTGAAACTCTTGCTACATTTGACACACTCACCTCACCCTCATCTAGACACATAGTACCACAGTGTGCAAAGGATTAGGTGGAGCCTGTGTTCAGAAAAGGCCTATGCAATAGGAAGGAGATTGACAATATCCCTCTTGGGGGACAATTAACGACAGTAATGGTTGCTGGCTCAAAGGCAGCCATACCATAATGCCTCAGGGACACCTTCTCCTCAGGTCCCTGGCCCCTGCCCATCCAGATATCATGTGATACTAACTTACCCAGATGGGCACCCTTGACGACCTCTGTATGGACACAGAAGAAAGTCAATGTGGGTGTTGAAGGTCCACTTCCTCACCACATGCATCCATCTCTTGTGGGCAAAGTTAAGACCCCCTGGAACTCCATTTTGGTCCCCATGCTTGCTGAGCCATCCTACCTGCCTGTCTTCTCAGCCTTCTGGGTAGCCAGGGTCCTCCACTCAGATGGAAGCACTGGTTCAGTCCCTGGGCCACCACAGGCTGGCAGGCCACCATTTTTGCTATTCTCAACTTCTTGGTCCCTTGCCTAGGAACCCACTTCAGCTAAACAAGTTATGGCCAATACTGGCCCAAGCTCCAGAGCCTGCCAGGCTGAAGCCACAGAGCATACTGGGGGCGGGGGGTGAGGGCTCCAGGGACCTGTTCTGCTTGGGACATCTCATACCCTGAAAACTGAGGGGGGCTCTGAGCACAGCCATGTAGAGGCCTCTCAGAGGCGCCCAAAACCACAGAAGGGGGCGGTACCAAAGAGCAAGGTTCAAGCCGGTGAGCTTGACAGTTTTTGATCAACTCCAATCAGAGGGGATGTGTAGGGGCTGCTCTATCCAGGAGCACTCAGGTTAGAGGTCAGGACAGTCACTGTCCACTGCCAAGGGCAACACCCCAACCTGGGCCTAGGGGAGGGAGGGTCTTAAATCAACCAAAGTTCTCTGGGTGTCCTCGCTTTGTAGCTTCAGAAGGAAACGAGTCATCCAGAATCCTGATAACATTAGAGGCCACGCGTAAAGGGCCTGCTACACCCTTTCCAGTGCCTGGGCAGAGATCAGAGTTAGGGGTAAAGCACGGTCGCCAGAGTAGGAGGAAAATCCCTCCACGACCTGGGGTCCCCAGGATCTCGCTTGTAGCCTCCAGGGAAGAGGGCGCCGCCGCGGACTCAGGCTACTCGCCTGGTGTGGCGAGCGCTGCCAAGAGGAGCACCTGAAGGCCCGTGGCCACCCACCTGTCACCTGAGGCCGGACACGGGCTGCAGCCTGGCCCGGAAGCGCCGACCGCGGGGGGGCGAAGGCAGTGAACCAAAATGGCGACTTTTTCTGGAGAAGGAGGAGGCGGGAGGACAGCGCCGGCGCGGGGAGCGGGGCGCGGCGCGGGTCCGGGCGCGGCGGGGAGGCAGGCTGGGCACACAGCTGGTGCGGGGCGCGGGATGGCGCCGGGGCCGCGGTAGGGCGAGCAAGGCCGGCGCTTACCTGTAGCGCCCAACGAGTGCGGCCGGGCCAGGCCGGAGCCGGAGCCGGGGCCGGGCCGGGGCGCGGGGCGCGGGGCGCGGGGTCCGGGCGGCGCACACTGCGCGCCGTGCTGCGCACATGCGCGCTCCCGCCCCTCCCACCTTTGACAGTTTTACTGCGGGGGGGGGGAGGGGGCGAACTCTCGCGGTATTCGCGCGGCAGCCGCTGCGGGGAAGGGGCCGGTGGGGCCTGCCTGCTCCTTGAGGCTGTGAAATCAGTATCCTTGGTGGTACTTATCTCCAGGCCTGTCACGCGTGCCTAGGGCAGGAGTCGCTTTGTGGACAGTCCAGTAAACTGAGGCATGTCAGGAACTCTGGACACGACCCCAAATCCTGTCTCACAGATTAAGCAACCTGACTGGTTGCGCTTGCTGAAGTAGATCCTATGAAGGAAGGCTGCCGTTATAGGACCTCCTATCATAGACTGACAGTCAGGGCGTGCCCCAGCCTCTAACTGTCCCTGTGGCCACCTTAGTCAATCTAGACACTGTAAGACTATTGGGCTTTATTGGAATTACTATTGGATCAACTCCCATCATTATGAACAGTGGTCCTAGACCAATGGCCAGTACCTAGCTTCTCTGGCCCAGAGCCTGGGCTGCTAGTGTCAGATCTGGGGGTAATGATGTCCCAACCCACAGGATTTGGGAATAAATGAAGCAGAGAGGAATAAATTCTCTTTTGGCAGACTGGGGAGGAGAAGCTGACTGGTAAGGAGGCAGAGTTGAAGAGCTTGGAGCTCCACAGGAGGCCCAGGGATTGTCCACAGCCTCCATCTCCTAGTGAGGAGCTAAGCATTCGTGAGGGAAGAGAAGAAAATTGGGCTTTCATTTGGAAACCACTGTCATCCTGGGCCCCTCTCTGTTTTCTGAAACAGGGTCTCACTGTGTAGCCTCTGGCTAGCCTGGGACTCACTTTGTAGACAAGGCTGGCATCAAACTCAGAGAGCTACCTGCTTCTGCCTCCCACATGCTGGGATTAAAGGTGCTTGACACCTCTTGCCATTCCACCAGGGTGTGTAACACCAGAATGTTGGCGGGGGGCAGTGTGCAAACTGAGGTACACTCAAGGTCATCAGCTTTCCCTATATAAATCTGAGTGTTCACAAGTGTAATATGCCAGTGCCCACAGGTTGGTGTGTGTCTAAGTGACCATGTGTGTCAGGTGGCACACATGTGTAGGCATCACAATGGCATACCTGCATGTCCTGTTCTAGGTAAGATTGATGCTTGCCTGTGTGTCAGTACTCAGGTAACTAGATGTCAGGGTGTGTAGGATGTGTATGATATATTCAGGTTATGCACATCCATGTGTAACTATGTGTCAGGATTTAAAAGGGCTGAGTTTTTAAACGTGTGTGTGTGTGTGTGTGTGTGTGTGTGTGTGTGTGTGTGTGTGTGCATAGAGTCCAGAAGAGGGCATCAGATACTCTGAAGCTGGAGTTACAGCAGTTGTGAGCTGCCTGAAGTGGGTGCTGGGAACTCAACTCTACAAGAGCAGCAAGTGCTCTTAACCACTGTGTCATCTCTCTAGTCCCACCTCCTTGCAACTGGCTTTTGTGTGTGTCTAGGTGTCGTCATTTTGCAAAGCAGTGTGCTTATGTGCACCATGTAGTACACCATGTCTTGTGTATTTGTCTTAGTGGTGGGGGATTGTGCATTAGTATTTATTTATTTATTTTGGTTTTTCGAGACAGGGTTTCTCTGTGTAGCTTTGAGCCTTTCCTGGAACTCACTCTGTAGCCCAGGCTGGCCAAGAACTCACAGAGATCCGCCCGGCTCTGCCTCCCGAGTGCTGGGATTAAAGGCATGCGCCACCACCGCCCGGCATGCATTAGTATTTATGTGCTTGGGTAATTATATCTGTGCATATGGGGATGTTGTTATATATCTTTGTAGGTATCATTGTGTCTGGTCAAATATGCAAGTGTGTTAGTATGTATTCAGGCATGTCTGTGTGTTGTGGTATCACTGTGTTTGTGGCTTATGGCCCTGTGTTCCTATTTGTATTTCTGATTGCTATGTTCAGGGTATGTGCTTCATGAGCTATGTATGTCAGGGCCTGGCTGAAAAGTGAGCCCCAACAGATAAATTCCTGAACCTGCAATGATATTTTATTTGGAAAAAAAGGTCTTTGTAGATATGACTGAAGTTCTTGAGATCTATCTGGATCACCCAAGTGGACTCTAAATATAAAGGAGATATGTAAGAGCCAGAAGAGAATGATCACAGAAATAGATTAGTGATGTAGCCTTGAGCCCAGGAATACACTGGCCACTAGCAAGTAAAATAGTTAAGGATTCTTCTCTACTTTTAGAGGACCTCTGTTTCTGTCTCTGTGCTGAGGATCAAACCTAGCTCTGGGCCACAAACCGTGTTCAATATTATTAAGCTACACTCCCAGACCATGAACCAAAGGAATCCATTGTTAGAGCAGCTCCAGAGATCCTCATTCCATGTACCAAGCTGTTGTTCTGAGTATGTCAGGGCTGTTGTGTCCCAACTGGGGTAACATCCTCAGGATCTCTACCTAAGATATCTTGTTTGCCACGGTGTCCTGGAGTTACCAAGTAGCATCTCCAGAATGCAACACTACTGCCCTCTAGTGGTTCTACCTGTAGGCATTGTTCTAGAAACCCCTTTGCTCCTCAGAGATCCGACACTGGTGGCATTTGAGAACCAGATTTATTTCTGATTTTTTTTTTTTCTGGTCATAGTATAAAAAAGTGACCAAAAACCAAGGAAGACAGGACAGGAGCATAGGGTAGAAATGACAGAGGAGAGAGAAAGGAGGCAGAGAGAGCCCTCTGGTTGCAGGAACAAGGACTGGGGGATTCTAAAGGCAGGCAGACACAACAAGGTGGTCCTTCCATGGGTGGAGGGCATACAGGATGGGAGATGCCAGGTCAGTGGCCTAAATTAATTGTAATGAGCAACCTTGAATTGAGGCCAGCTTCTGGCACGCAGAGGGGACTGGAGGCTGAGCCTCAACTGTCCCTGAGATTTTAGAGTCCCTGGGAAAGTTAGTAGAGGGCAGAGTGCAAGTGAGCTGCCAGGGGCTCCTCACTGTCCTTCCTGGCAGCACCAGCCCCCAAATACCCAAGGGAGGGTTGTTCAGGTATCTGGTGACACATGAGAGGAACAGCCCTACATCATTTTCTTGGAAAAATTATAAATACAGATTTTCTTGGGAGAGCCGCAGAGGTGTACACACACACACACACACACACACACACACACACACACACACACACACACACGTTTCTTCAAGATGGTCTCTAAGAGCCAGGGAATAGGGAAGATGCTTAAGAGCAAGACTTCTTCAAAGGTAAGGTTGGGAACATTGCTGAACTGGTGGGCTGTGCATGGGTCACCTGTGTGGCACCGGAGTCTGTGTCCCGCCACACACTGGCTTTGGAGCTTGAGCATCTTGGACCCCTTCCAACTTCAGATCTCGTGGTGGATAGGGTAAACTGAAGTTTCATAATCACTGAGTGAAGCACATGGCATGATACCTAGCTGGGCTGATGACCATCACTGTGGACAACAGGTTGAACCTGCTGTACTCTGAGAGGGTTAGGGAAGGGATACACCAGAAAGAGAGCCAAGCAAGCTTGTCCCGATGTGTAGCTGACCTGGATGTGCCTGGGGAAAACAGAATTAAAAGACTTAAGGAGGGACTCATGACTCAGAAGATGGGGGATGGTCACATGTTGGAGGGAGCATAAATAAACAGACTCCCTGGGAGTCTGGGGACATTCAAACCCCACTCTCACTCCAGGCAGCTGCCCTGTTCGCTGCCAGCAGCACCAGGGGGTGGACCTGGGCTTCGATCCCAGAAGAAGGGTCTTCAGGCAGGCAGCGACCACCCACCCAGCCACAGGGCAGAACCTATAGTGCCTCTCCAGAGGAACCTGGAGGTGGCAGTCCTGCCCCTCCCTGTTCACTGGGCTAGATTTAGTCACTAGGATCCAAAGGGGCTGTAGGGCCAGCTCTGCCTCATCCTTGGCTGTGGGCTCTGGTCACAGTGTTGGGGTCTGGGGTCCAAGTCTAGGCAGCAGCTAGGACATGTTTCCGAAGGAAGCTGTAGGACAGATAGGAGGGAGAGTTGGATTTTTGGCACACCCCAGGACGGTCCTTACCAAATGCCCCCAGCCATTCTTCTATGGTCAGAATAGTCATCTTACACCCTCAGCCTAGTCCCTTCCCCTAACCCGGTACTCTAGGTCCCTGCTACTAACCTTGGCTGAGCAGCTGCAGGCTCCGCCCCTCCTCGCGCACCTGCAGGTGGAGCACCTGCTGCAGCACCTCCTGCCTCTGGGCCTCTTGGGTCAACCCCATTCTCTGCAGCTTATCTGCATTCAGTCGAAGCAGGGCTCGGCCTAGGGAGAGAGAAGGAAGAAGGCAGTGAGGCAAAGTAGATAGGCCACATAATAAGACTCTCCAAAAACAAACAAACAACCCACCAAAGACTAAGAAAGTAGAGCAAGATATTCAGGGATTTTTAAAGGGAGAAAGGCAGAGAAAGACAAGATTGATCAAAAGATAGAGGCAAATCAAAGAAACATCAAAAGACAGAGCAGAGAGACTGGGAGAGGCAGAGAGGGAGAGACACAAACAGCAGAGGTACAGAAAGGAGGCTCACTCGGAGGATACAAGTGAAGACAAGGCTGACTGAGTGAGGTGGAGGCTCTCTTGAGCATCCTGGTCCTCCCTAACCCATGACCCACCATACCAGTGATGGCATGCTGGGAGAAGGCCTCGACATAGACGAGGTAGTTGTGAGGACAATGCTTCTTGAGCCACTTGCAAACATCCTGCTGGCTCCACAAGACCACGGGCCTTGTCAGGCCACCCAGTGAAGGGCTTGTGTGGTACAAGCCATAGTGATCAGAGTACAGCCGAGCCTGCAGGTAGGGAGGTGAGGTCAGTAGAATGAAGGTAATAAAAATTGAAGGCAAGGGCTAAGATTAGGCAGGGTAGGTAGGTACCTGGGGGGTCTCTGAGCCTGGCTGCTGAAGGAGCTTGACTGGCCTGCTGCTGGATGCCCTCTGGCTACGGGAGTCATGCCAGGTGAGGCTGGTGCCTGGTGTCCGAGGCAGGTGGCAGGGTATGTTCTCAGCTGACACTGTGTGCTCTAGGAGGGTCTGGCAGAAGCTGAAATGGGCAGTGGCTGTATGCAGGGATTCCTAGTCAGAGTGGTTAGGGGCAGGCTCCTCCCTTGTGAACCACTTCCTGACAAGTAAATCTTTTTTCTACCAAGGAGTGGGTAATTTGCAAGAGTTATCTTGAAGACTTCTTTCGGAAGATAAAGTAGACATGCCTTTATCAGCTGATGGCTCACACTCTACCCCCAAGTGTGCTTAGATTGGAGGATGCACCTCCCTATAGTCAGGTCAGGGGAGCTGTCTTTAGGGCTGCCTTGACTTGCTTTGCCCTTGCCTTGGGCTAGCACATAAGCCTCCCACATGTCATTCAAGACCAGAGTGTATACACACATCTACGTCTTCAACAGTCACTAAGTATGACTCATTGACAAAAAGTTTGAACTTGGCCAGGCAGTGGTGGCACATGCCTTTAATCTCAGCACTCAGGAGGCAGAGGCAAGTGAATCTCTGTGAGTTCGAGGCCAGCCTGGTCTACAAAGCAAATTCTACGACAGGCTCCAAAGTTACACAGAGAAACCCTGTCTCAAAAGACCAAAAAAAAAAAAAAAAAAAATTGAACTTTAGGGAAGCTGACAACAGGAACGTTCCGGACACATGCTTTATTTCCCTTCTGTGTGGCTTCTGCAGGGCCTACCTCAGAACAACCAATGTGAATAGGGTGTCAGGTAGGAATGGACTGGTCAGCACAGATGTACTGGGGACCTTCTTCCCCCACTAATTCATTGCACTTGTTAAGTTAGTTTTAGAGTCATTTACGGGAATTACTGCTGACATGAGTCTGGGGACAACCAATGTCTGGAATTCTAAGGCTTGCCCAGGTCTTGGTGCATAGAAAGCACCCATAAGCACTGCATACGGACAGATGACTCTATGTGTGCCTGCAAGCCAAAGAAGAAAGAAGGTGGGCTTAAGAAGTGTGTGGCCACCACTCAGAGGTAGCCTGTAGTACTGTAAGACTGACTCTATGTGAGGAGCAAGGTCCAGGGAATAGGCACTGTAGTCTGAGAGCTTTGCAGGGCCTTCCCTGGACTAGGGCTAGGATGCACCTCATAAGGGGGAAACCAGTCCAACATCTTAGCTCTAGCCAGTTGCACCTGCTAGGGCTGCCCAGGCCCCGCCTATTTCCTCTGGGCACTGGGCCAGGGTCTGTCTTTCCCAACCCAAACCTCTGAATTATATGCCTCGGCCCCAACGTAAGGGCTTGGGGAGGATTTTCCCTGTGTGAAGTAAAGGGTGATCAGAGTGTGGTGTCAGCTTGGTGAAGAAGCTTCTGCCAGTCATCCCCACCTCAAGCCAAGGCCTGAGACTGACGGCCGTCCTCCTTCCAGCCTTCCTGCCCCGTAATACTGGACAAAGACTTCTCCTCGGTGGCCGCCCCCGGAAACCCTCTGAGTCCAGCCCCAGTACTCTCCTTGGGCCCCCGTACTCCTCCCGCTCCTACCCCACCGCCCACGATATTCCGGCTCCTAGGTCCATCCCAGCTCACCGTCCACATCCGGGCGCTCCCCGAAGCCTGTACGCACAGCCCCGGCGCGAGCTCGCGGGGGGCTCAGCTTTGACCTCAGCTCGGTGAACATGGAGCCCGCCAGTGCGCGGTTGGGTACACGCCCCTCGCGGCGTACCAGGGGGCCAGTGCGGCCGATGGGCAACGCGCACCGCGTCCCCACCCGCCGGAGCCAGCCGAGCCCAAGCCGGTCCCCGCGGCCCGGGAGTCTGCGCGGCAAAGCACCTGCCGCCCAGCCCTGGGCGCAAGGCGCGCTCCGGGAGCTCGGAGGTGTATCGGCGGCGCGCGGGGCTGCGTATGCTAAGGGTGTCCGCCAGGGCAAAAGGCGTCCTTGCGCACCTGGGTGCGACTCTGCGGACCAGCCTCTCCTGCAACGTACTGGAGGGTCTTTGCAGTTGGCAAGCGAGGAACTGTCGATTCCCTCGGTGTGGTAGTGGTGGGGGTCCTAATCACACCTGTGGCCTTTTACTTACCCTGTCCAGCCAAGGGCCGGATCAATCTCTCCCAAATACCCGTGTGTACTAACTTATTCATCCCCTTTTTAAATTTTATGAATGTTTTGCTCGAATGCATACATCTGTACACCATTCTCGTACCTGGTGCCCAGAAGCGGACATCGGATCCTCTGGCACTGGGGTTAGGGTCAACTGTGAACTGCCATGTGGGTGAACCTGTGTCCTCTGCAAAAAAAATGAGAAGTACTCTTAATCACTGAGCTGTATCTCCAGTCCCACTTGCTCATTCTTTACTGGAGCATTCTCTTAGCTCAGACCCACTTCCCAGAGACACTAGCTGACACTTGCCTGCAGGCCACTATGCTTTGAACTCCAGGCAGTACTAGGCCTCTCTGTTGAGCCACTGAATCAAGATCAGTTCCCAAGGGTTCGGTGTTCAGACTCAATCCTGTTCCTCCCTAAAACCTTGTCTGGAGAGCCCAGAATGGTTGTTTGCTTCAATACCCCACGGAAAGGCATTGGACACACAAGTCTGGTTGCCTGGTCCAGCACAGAGTATAGGCCGCAGCAACTTGCAGTTTTTCCTGTCTGTCCTAGAGCCTGGTGCTCTCCCCACGTGTAGGTGGTGTAAGAAAAGTGAGGTAGAGAGGCAGACTTTATCTCAACAGGTTGAGACTGCTTTATTGAAACACTGAGCAACCCCAACCTTTTCACCGGTTGAAAGGGGAGTGCATATAGAGGGGCTGGGACACACACACACACTTAGTAGCTACCAAGAAGTTACAGCTATTTTTGTGATTTAACTGGGAGCAGGGTTGTTTTCCATACCCCTGGCATCTTGTTTCTGCAGGTAGAGCCCACAATCCCTGGGGCTAAGCAATTCTTTACAGCTTAGGGTTATTGCCCAGTACAGCCTGACTCATGACCTGAGGCTATTATTACCCAACAGGTGGGACTGGCATTGTTTTGCAGGTAGAGCTGCATACAGGCAGAAAATATCCGTGTAGAGTACAGTGGTGCGCGTCCACTCAAGCCACTGGGCACACAATCATTCCCAAGCTTGTGACGCAGGTCCTAGCACTTGTCAGAAGGCGCACGGGTCGCGGAAGGGGGAAGGTCCGGGCTCTGAACACTGAGCGCGCAGAGCAGCTGTTGCAGGGTGCACGCAGTCTCGACTGTCTGTGGCCACACAGTACTGCTAGGCAAGTCGGAAGTCTTGGTCACGTTCGCTGAATCAGTCTTCTAAGGCTAGGGCAGGCTCGCGGCCATGCCTGCACCGGGACGCTTCTGAAAAAGCCTGCTGGGCTTAGGCTGCGAATTGTTCCTGGCACAGCAACAGAACGTATGACCCTTAGCCCCGCCTGCGCGGCCCGCTGCGTTAATGGTTAGTGGTTTGCGGGCGCGCACGCGTGCTCATCTTCTCACGGCACACCCACCAAGCAGCCGCCGGCGGAAACGCTTTGCAAACCCACATCTTTGACTTCCGCCCGAGGATCTGGGTGGGCGGCGCTTTTCGCGACGTCACTCTCTACTTCCGGGGCGCAGGCGACGTAGTAGCTGCATATCTTCCAGCTGCGACACCGGGAGGATTTTGCGCCTTCTGCAGCGTACCTGTTCCTCTACATTTGTCTGCCTCGGCCAACAACACTGCCATGAACAAGAAGAAGAAGCCGTTCCTGGGCATGCCCGCGCCGCTCGGCTACGTACCCGGGCTGGGTCGGGGGTAAGGTAGTAGGCGAAACTTGTACCAGGATGGGTTCTAGTACCCTGGAACGCAGCTCGCTCCAGGCCTAGTTGAGAACGATGCTAGTGACCCCTAGGGCTACGTAGAGAGACCGCGTCTCGAAACAAAACAAAACAAAACAAAAGTGCCTGGGGGTAGTGGCGCAGGTCTCTAAACCCATCATTGAGGCGGGGCGCGGTGGTGGGGGTACAGCAGAGGCCTTAGTATCTTTGAGTTAGAGACCAGCCTGATCTACGTAGCGAATCTCAAGACAGCCAGGGCTACATAGCAAGTTCCAGGACAGCCAGGGTTACTTAAAGAAACCTTGTCTCAAAACAAAAACAAGATTAATGTTCACCACCACATAGTCCGGGAGGCACTATGTAATTTGGCATAATGCCTGTCAGACACAGGGGCTTTTTTTTGTCAGAATAAGCGGGTACATGTGGCCTGACTGCCACCCTGATATGAATCAGATCATATGATATGAATCGGGGATTACACAGTGGTTTGAGCCTCAGTGTTTTGGTGTCTGAAGTAATATGCATAAGCAAATCGGATGTAACGAGCAGTTGAGTCTGATGTGTATAGTGGGAGTATGCTACTCCTTTATTCCCTTAAGCATCTTTTCCTTCTAGGATGTGTGACCGTAGGTCACCTTTTAAAATGCTCAACCCTCTGGACAGGGATGGCCTATGCCTGCCAACCATAAGGTGTTGGGTAAATAAATAGTATTTGTCCTACTTCTTTATGCATTTGATTAGACATAAGTCTCTCTAGAAGGGGGGCATTCGTACCCATTGTCAGATGACCTGAATTTACTAGAAGAGGTTTTCTGTTTGTATAAATAACATACAAAGGAGAATAGAAGTCAAGAGATATTCAGCAGTGTAGCAAAGAGGGATTTTGAAATGTCAGATTTGGGAGAAGTAAAGAAAAGTGGAGTTTGTGCCAGGCAGTGATGGCCCATGCCTTTAATCCCAGGACTCAGGCAGGCCAGCCTGGTCTACAGAGCAAGTTCCAGGATAGCCAAGACTATACAGAGAAACTCTGTCTCAAAAAACAAACAAACAAACAAACAGAAAGTGGGATTTGGTGTAGACACATAAAAAGGCAAGTAGGGGACTGTCGAGGTGGCTTGGTGGGTAAAGGCTCTGTCAAGTCTGTGTTTGATCCCCAGAATCCATGTGGTAGAAGAGGAAAACTGAGTCTCTGACCTCTTCTGGTTGTCTTCTGACCTCTACACATGTGTCAGGTCGCACACACTAAATACATAAATAAACAAACAGTGTAAAAGGGCAGCTGGAGGTGTAGCTGAGTGTACCCTGCCACAACCCTGAGTTTGAGTCCAGCACCTTGCCCAACCGCTTTAAAAAAGACAAAATGGAGTAGAGAGATAGCTTAGCAATTAGGAGCACTTACTGCTTTTGTAGAGGACTTGAGTTTCATTTCTAGCACCCACATCAGGTGCTTTTAGTTCCAGGGGCTCTGGTATCTTCTGATCTCCACAGGCACATGCATGCATGTGGTGTGTATAAGCACACGGCTTCACACACATACACATAAGTAAACATAAATGCAAAAGAAAAAGATCAATTCCAGTGAGGCCAGAAAAGAAAGGAATCCAGAATAGAGGGATTTGCTGCAAGAAGAATGGAGCTGGAAGCTATGGGGACCTTAGCTTAGGATAGAGCTCTCATAGTTTATGAGTTACTTTTTTTCTTTTATGTTTGTTTGATTTTGGTTTTTTGAGACAAGGTTTCTTTGTGTACTCCTGGCTGCCCTGGAACTTGTTCTGTAGATCAAGCTGGCCTTGAGCTCACAGAGATCCGCCTGCCTCTGCCTTTCGAATGCTGGTATTAAAGGTATATGCTACCACTGCCTGGCTGAGCTACATTTTTGAAAAGAATCACTTGGCAGATTGTGGGTTGAAGTAGGAGTAGGTTGGAGGCAGGGATAATAAATGGATTTCCAGCTGTGGCAGGAATTGTGGTCTTGAGGAGCAATTTGTCAGTAGTATTTGGGGACAGACAAGATGAAGAGAACTCAAGGGAGACAAAGATGATTGTATAGTGTCTCTTATGGAATGGCTGTTAATGACTTATCATCCTGGAACAGCTGCTGAGTACATACAGGAGGAAATCAGTTTGGTCCTGGTTGAAAGTGGAGAGTTCATGCTCAACAGACAATTGAAAATGTGAGACCAGAACTGGAGGAGGAGGGACTTCTGAAGGCCTGACAGTGATGTGGAGGAAAAATGGGGACTCCTCGGGGTGGAGAAAAACTCTCTCTGACCTACTCATTGTAGGTTAAAAGGTTCAGCAAACAAAGAAGACCAGTAATAGATGAAGTACTAGAATCTTTGGAGGTTCCCAGAAGTATGAGAAGTAATGTTACTAAATGATGATCAGAAAAGAACATAGGATCAGGGTCACTCAAATAATGATGTCTTTGGTCTTCCTTCAGTGCCACTGGCTTCACCACCCGATCAGACATTGGGCCTGCCCGGGATGCAAATGATCCTGTGGATGATCGTCATGCCCCACCAGGGAAGAGAACTGTGGGGGACCAGATGAAGAAAAATCAGGCTGCTGATGATGATGATGAGGATCTGAATGATACCAACTATGATGAGGTGATTTTTTTTTTAAAATGGCTTTTTAAAGATTAATTTTCTTTTCCTTTTTTCTTTTTTGGTTTTTTGAGATAGGGTTTCTTTGTGTAGCCTTGACTGTCCTAAACTAGCTCTGTAGACCAGGCTGGTCTTGAACTCAGAGATCCACCTGCTTCTGCCTCCCAAGAGCTAGGATTAGAGCATGCGCTACCATCTCCTCGCTATTTTCATTATTTTTAAGTTATGTGTATGAGAATGTCTGTGTACATGATTGCATGTGCCTGAGGTGGCCAAAGGCATTGGATTTCCCCTGGAGATGTAGTTAGAGGTGGTTGTGAGCCTTCTGACCCAGGTGCTAGGAACTGAATTAGGGTCCTCTGAAAGAGCAGTGTATGTGT